CAGGCAATTTATTAATATCATCTGAATTGAAATGCACATATGACAATAAGGTATTAAAAAGCCTTAGCAGGTAAAATATAGGACTCTAGTTATTAATTAGCATATTTGTTAATTGCAATTGGATATTAAAAGTTATTTAAAGCTGCAGTTACATTTATACACCTTGTTCAAGTAAGCCAGGTACATCATTGAGTTGCATTACTAACAGCCAATGTATGTGGCTATCATTAACAATGTATACATTTCATTACATCTGACTCATTAGCATATTGCTAATTAGCATATCTTTAATATGTTAATATAATTCAATAATAAGTTGATATATATATACATTTTCCTGTTGTAATGGGATATACTTAGGTCAACATGCAAGCAGGTTAACACTTGAAATGTATGTTAGGAACAGATACATTGGATGTAGACAGTATAATACAAATCATACAAAAATTGGAAAATATTCGAGAATAATTAAGCTCATTTGCATATTTTGCAATTAGGGAAGACATTGCAGAAAAATTCATATTCTTTAATGTGAATTTAACCGGAATGTAGGATTCAGAAAGTTGCCACTGCAAGCCCCTTCTACAATTTGTAGCATACTTAGAAAAGCAGCTCACTCATTGGTTGAATGACACTATTGTGCATGAGTAATTAGTTCGGGCTAATGTGCATAAGGTAATTAGCATATTGTTGATTGAAATAATTGTTAATTAAGAATATGAATATTACAGTTTGTTCAAATGTCAACAGGTTACTTTGACATTTTATTAGACATTATACAAAGAAAAGTGACATGTATCCTGATATGTATATCATATGTTGGTAATTAGGCTTATTTGCATATTTTGGTATTAATCATCCTCAATAATATGCTTTATTTACTTCTAAAGGGAATTTAGGACCACAAATGCCTTTCTAGTATAGAGTTCTGTTCACAATTTGTAGCTTTTGTCACAATTTGTAGGAATCTCGTTACCCATAAAAATGATGTAATTATGGCTAGATGTAATAATTAGCCTAATTAGCAAAAATGTGTAAACTTTCGTATGTAAAAAGATGAAATTAAAGACCTTTGTGGCAAATTGTTTGATCCTAATATGCTGAAAATTTGAAGATTGTAGCATGAAAAGTTTAAGAGTTACAATAAAATGTATGTCAAATATTGTTGATTTATGGTCTCATTTGGTGCCATGACTAATTAGCTTATTCCCATAGGACCAATAGTTAAGCATCTTCCAATGAAAACGTCAAAATCGTAAACTTTAAAAAATTCTAAAAAATCTCAACTTTGTCCAATTCTTATGCGAAAGGAAGCATTCTGACCGGAAAAATCTACTCTATAACATGGAATTATTTTTAATAATACTTGGCGCCCCCCTATTTTTAGTGTGACATCCTTACTGTCAGACATTAAAGAGTTCTGTTTGGTTTTCAACTCTAGACAAACGTGTGAACCTGTGACCTCGTGTTGTGTAGTCATCGTGGTGTTATGTTACACATCGTTTGGCAATGGTTCATAGCCCCTCAGGCAGGTGGTATTAAATACGTAACTTGTTAGGTTAGGTTGAAGTGGGTCAATCCGACCCCCTCCCCCCCGTCCACCTTGATTCTGAAATCTTAGTGCAATATGTACAGATTTGTTTATATGCATTTATGATCTGTTATGAGTTAACTTTGTTCACCATTATTGTATGTAGCCTACCTTTATTTCTGCTCATATTTTGTTTGGATTTTGTTATCTGTACCTTTAATTCTCTTTTGTTTGTGTATTACTTATATTCAAACGGTGTCGTATAAGCTCACACGGGCTGGGCGCGGGAAAGCGCACGACACGAAAATAAAGCTTCATTCATTCATTCATTCATTCATTCATTCATTCATTCATTCATTCATTCATTCATTCATTCATTCATTCATTCATTCATTCATTCATTCATTCATTCATTCATTCATTCATTCATTCATTCATTCAGCTACCCATGGAACGACTCACTAAGGGTTATAAAAGGGCCAGATGCTTAGTATGAGTTACATTTGTTACTTTCGGAGTGGCATAGCGAGAAGGGGCCCTTGTTATTATGAGGAGGGCTGGAAAATAACCGAAAGCATTGGAGTTGAGATCTGGTGTGTCCAACTGATTCTTGGTCTCCTAAGCACATTATAACAAAGTAACGTTACCTTCCCTAACCTAAGAGCTATCTACCATACAAATTCGTGACCCTAGCATATCCAGACCATGAGATATGAAAACCGGAAGTTCTGCTGCAGTACCAATACAAGCCATCAGGGGGCCCAAAATCTAATCATTTGTACATCTCATCAAGACCTACCCACCTACCAAGTTTCATGACAATGTATATCAAGCTTCTTGAGTTGTTCACAGACAAAGAAACAGACAGACGGACAAACGCTACTGAAAACATAACCTTCTTGGCGAAGGTAAAAAGATTCTTAACAGCACTGATGGTGTAAAAGAACAGTTCAGGAGCCCTGCACTTATGGTTTGACTTGCAAGGCGGCGCTGCATCGTAACCTCATAGGAATAAGCCTACTAGTATGCAAGGACGCATATGCAAAACTACACCAGATTAATAGTTCGTTAACTTTATATCATCAATGAGCAAAATAGAAAAAAAAAACAATATCAATTCATAACATTTGAAGGAAAATTTTTATTGTAACTTTATTTCATAAAAATTATAGCAGGTGCAATGTATAACAACTTGTGCATATTGGAAGTTGAACTATTGGTAGATAACAATTTCAAGATACTCTTTATAGCTAGTTTTTATTGAATTAAATAACAATGAAGACACTACAATCACGGTACTTCTCTGATAACTCGTAAACAAAATGCCCATTACTGCATGTTGGATTTAGGAATGTATAAAATTGTCTGTATCTTGCAGCGACTTGTATATGAATTGGCCTACATAATTAGATATACAATCTTTATCAACACAACCAAACATTTTGCTACTTTCCTAGGGTCTATTACAGCTAATCACACAAAAATACCAGCACATATATAAAACATATTTAAAGGCAGTTCAAACAAGTCGCCGCATGTATCATTGAAAGCAAGAAGATAAAATCAAGCCTATTCTGTTAAGTGATATTTAGGTAAATTATCTCTTCAGAGCTCTGGGGAGAAAGGACAGTTCGTGTTTCTTTGATTTACTTTGTGATGTCACAAGCCTTCTGTTACGTCTGTGATTATAGCGGCTACAGTCAGGGTGAGTTATAAAACTGTTCAGAGGGTTGACTTTGTCGGACAAAAATTGATGGAAACCGAGTCAGAAGTAGCAATTAGTTTAAAGTTTCAAGTGGTAAAGAAATGCAATAGAAACTACTGCCTTGTAAACTTATCATATGTAACTTCTTCAACATTGCTATAATAGGGATTTATATGCAAGTTCGGTTGGAGAAGATTATTAATGAATATAGAGACCACAAAGAGTATGGTATAAGACGACCATGGTTGTTACTTTTGTGATTTTCCTGGGGAACTCTTCCACTGTACCCCTTCCGGCTCACCACGAACTTCAGGAAAATCGACGTCTAAACTCTCGTGGATGTTGTTCGGATCTCTGTTAACCATGTCGAGTTCTTCAGCCCCACGAGCAGATCTAGATTCAACCTCCGGTTCCGCCTTTATTTAAAGATAACAAACAAACAAACAAACAACAAATAAACAAACAAATAAAACAAGAGTTCTGAGAACTCATACCTCCATGAAATATGGACTTTCTTTGTAATACTTCATTTCAACGTCCTATTTAATTATGAAAATAACCTTTACATTAACATTATGTATAATGGTGTTAACATTTCAGTAACTTACACATGTCACGAGGTATAAAATTCCCATCATTTACCAATAAGGAGTCACATAATTTTCACATATATTATGCAAATTAGGTCATCATTTGCATAATTGGTATCTGTTGATGTTCCGCCTGCCACAGATTAAATAGATAACATATATAAATTAAAGTACTATTTTATAAAACACCGTCATTAGAATAGAATTTCCTCCAAATAAACAAATAAAAAGTACAACCGTCGGTCATATACATGTACCCGTACCCGCCCCCCTCACCTCTACACACATTTTTACACCGGAAGCGTAAAAACACCCTACGTTGAAGATAAAATATTTAAAAAACATTCAATTCGTATAGCTTATTATGTAGACATTAAACTCAACATGTCGATTTATCCATGCAGGTAAGTTCCTTTTTTATACGTTTTTGTTTGGAAGTGTCGTTGTTGACAACCTCACGCTAATGCTATTGTGTCAATGAAGAATTCCATATAACGTCTCATGGAAGCAATGTAAGACTTACACGTTCTTTACGCACGCGGCAGCAGATCCTCTCATCGCCACCTCCACACTCCACATTGAGTTTAGCAGTTTTACAGATGCTGGTCGTACACCTACCGCCTGCATATTTACAGCGAATGTCCTCTGGATCTAGGGAGAAATAGATATTGACATATGGTATGAAGGAAAAAGAAATTAAGGAGCAAATAGGTCTTTACTGAAGCCACCGTAATACTTTCAAGAAAAGTTATTTGCTGAGTCATGGTCTTCGAAAATTACATTTTCCTCGAAAATTACTAGTCGGTTAACAATCCAAAGTCACTTATGCCGTAGGTCGTGTAAGGAGGCTGGCAGAACAAAACGGCGCCATTTAGAATCAAATAATAGGTTTCAGAGAACAAAACAGCTGAATACCCACCTCCCTCAAAACACATACACACACAAGGTTTGCAAATTTTCTGACGAATGTGGCCGCATTCTATCACGAGCAAAGCAACGCAGGTCAAGTTAAAGTTGAAGCTTACAGGAAGGACGACCAGCCCGAGGCTTGGCGACGACCAGCCCGAGTACAGCTAAGATCAGGACGAGACGCATGTTTCCCTGCATGAGTTGACCAGCGAAATAAAGGAAGTATAGCCTCCGGACTGGACTGCTGTAAACCCTTTACCGTTAAGGCCACGGCAAGTAAATTTTATGGATGACATCCCTCGCAGACTCCAAATCTAATGGGAGCGGGCAAAAAAAAAAGACGGGCCGAAAAAATTAACAAGATTTCTACATTTGAAAACTTTGACTCGATCATTATACAGATGGTTTTGATTCAGTAGGAACATCACATATACACAACCAACATCACATAGCACTGCATCAAAGTAAGAAACAAAACATTAAATCAGGGCCTGTTGTCTCCTTATAGTTATCTGCCTTCCACCTTCCGGCATGGCAACCGACATCTTTGCCCATTTTTGGCATGGTGACCACTGTCAGAAGGCAACAAAAATTATTGTTTTTTTTTCTTCTTCTCAAAGTCAGGCGAAAATTAATGCGCGCGCTGATGTCATCCATAAGAATTACTTGCTGTGGCCAAACCTTATTCATGCTTTCGTTCATGCGAATAGAGCAACTGGTCATTAGACCGTTTAAACCCAACAGAAAATTGTTTACCCAGGAGCTGGCATGTTCTGGCCGTGGCAAAGGGGAGCCAGGTGCTTTTGTGTGGCGATCTGTTCCAAAGGCCGTTTTACTGTGGGGAACGGTTGAATTACTTTGAGTCATCTTCATTTTACACACACCAAGCAGAACGGAACTTGTTGTACTTACAGTGAGCGTAAAGTTGTTTTAAATGACTAAAGTTGACAGGAATGGAAGTCTTTGTTTGCCTGATTTCTTCATAAAAATATTTGAACGTTGCAAGTCAATCTTGTACTGTCCACCGTGTAATTAGAATGTCTTTTTAGGAATGCACCGCAAAAAAATATTTGGAAAATATTTGGACATACAGTTTTAAAATGAGAAGATCAAAATAACCATAATTAATTTGTGGTTTGACTTGCAAGGCAGCGCCGCATTACAACCCTCACACGAATAAGCCTATGCACAGACTTAGACTTGACAGAGGCCTATACAAAACTACATTAGATTAACTTTACATCATCTATGAGAAACGTTAACAAAATGCGGAGTAGGAAGAAAGCAGTTTACAACATTTGAAGGAGAATACCATCCGTAGCTTTAATGCATAGCAATTGTATCAGGTACAATGTATAACAGCTTGTACATATATTGTAATGTAAGTTGAATTATTGCTAATACATGCAGCTAGCAATTTTAAGATTCTAATCTAGTTTTCATAAATAACAGTGGCGACACGGTATTTCTCTGATAACTTGTAAACCAAATGTCCATTACTGTATGTTGCATTTAGGAATGTATAAAGTTCTCTGTATCTTGCAGCGACTTGTATATAAATTGGCCTACATAATTAGATATACAATCTTTATTAACACAACAAACATTTTGCTACTTTCCTAGGGTCTATTACAGCTGATCACACAAAGATGCCAGTACATATATAAAACATATTTAAAGGCAGTACAAACAAGTCGCCGCATGTATCATTGTAAGCAAGAAGATAAAATCAAGCCTATTCTGTTACGTGATATTTAGGTTAATTATCTCTTATTGTAAAGCTTCAGAGTTCTGGGGAGAAAGGACAGTTCGTGTTTCTTTGATTTACTTTGTGATGTCACAAGCCTTCTGTTACGTCTGTGATTATAACGGCTACAGTCAGAGTGAGTTATAAACTGTTCAGAGGGTTGACTTTGTCAGACAAAAATTGAGGGAAACCTAGTCAGAAGTAGCAATTAGTTTGAAGTTTCCAGTGGTAAAGAAATGCAATAGAAACTACTGTCTTGTAAACTTATTATATGTAACTTCTTCAACATTGCTATAATAGCAACTTATATGCAAGTTCGGTTGGAGAAGATTATTAATGAATATAGAGACCACAAAGAGTATGGTTTAAGACGACCATTGTTCACTGTACCCCTTCCGGCTCACCAAGAACTTCATGAAAATCGACATTTAAACTCCCGTGGATGTTGTTCGGATCTCTGTTAACCATGTCGAGATCTTCAGCCCCACGAGCAGATCTAGATGCAACATCCGGTTCCGCCTTTCCTGTAAGCTAAGAAACAAACAACAAATAAACAAACAAATAAAACAAGAGTTCTGAGATTTCATACCTCCATGAAATATGGGCTTTCTTTAAATAAAAAACATTCAATTCGTATAGCTTATTATGTAGACATTAAACTCTACATGTCGATTTATCCATGCAGGTAAGTACTTTTTTTAAACGTTTTTGTTTGGAAGTGTCGTTGTTGATGACCTCACGCTAATGCTATTGTGTCAATGAAGAATTCCATATAACATCTCATGGAAGCGATGTAAGACTTACACGTTCTTTACGCAGGCGGCAGCAGATCCTCTCATCGCCACCTCCACACTCCACATTGAGTTTAGCAGTTTTACAGGTGCTGGTCGTACACCTACCGCCTGCATATTTACAGCGAATGTCCTCTGGATCTAGGGAGAAATAGATATTGACATATGGTATAAAGGAAAAAAGAAATTAAGGAGCAAACAGGTCTTTACAGAAGCCACCGTAATACTTTCAAGAAAAGTTATTTGCTGAGTCATGGTCTTCGAAAATTACATTTTCCTCGAAAATTACTAGTCGGTTGACTATTCAAAGTCGCATATGCCGTAAGTCGTTTAAGGAGGCTGACAGAACGAAACGGCGCCATTTAAAATCAAATAATAGGTTTCAGAGAACAAAACAGCTGAATATCCCCCTCCCCCCCCCACACATACACACACAAGAATTGCAAAAGTTCTGACGAATGTGGCCGCATTCTATCACGAGCAAAACAACGCATGTCAAGTTAAAGTTGAAGCTTACAGGAAGGACGACCAGCCCGAGGCTTGGCGACGACCAGCCCGAGTACAGCTAAGATCAGGACGAGACGCATGTTTCCCTGCATGAGTTGACCAGCGAAATGAAGCAAGTATAGCCTCCGGACTGGACTGCTGTAAGGCCACACCAAATAAATTTTATGGATGACATCCTCCGCAGACTTGAAATCTAATGCTAGCGGGCGAAAAAAGAAAAAGGCGCTTCGAAAAAACAAGGTTCCTACATTTTAAAATTTCGACTTAATTATTGTACAAATGCTTTCGACTCAGTAGGAACATCACATATACACAGCCAGCATCACATATCACTGCATCAAAGTAAGAAACAAAACATTAAATCATAGCCCTTTCTTCTCTCCTCTCTACATAGATAACTGCCATCCAGCTTCCGGCATGGCAACAGACATATTTGCCCATTTTCGGCATGGTTACCACAGTCAGAAGGCAACAAAAGTTCTTGTTTTTTTTTCTTCTCAAAGTCAGGCGAAAATTAATGCGCGCGCTGATGTCATCCATAAGAATTACTTGCTGTGGCCTAACCTTATCCATGCCTTTGTTCATGCGAATAGAGCAACTGGTCATTAGACCGTTTAAACCCAACAGTGAATTGTTTACCCAGGAGCTGGCATGTTCTGACCGTGGCAAAGGGGACAGCCCTGCAGGTGCTTTTGTGTGACGATCTGTTCAAAAGGCCGTTTTACTGTAGGGAACGGTTGAATTACTTTGAGTCATCTCCATTATACACGCACCAAGCAGAACGGGACTTGTTGTACTTACAGCGAGCGTAAAGTTGTTTTAAATTACTGGGGTTGACAGGAATGTTATTCTTTGTTTGCCATAATATGTGTATTTAGAATGTCTTTTTAGGAATGAACCGCAAAATGATATTTTGAAAATTGATGGAAATAGAAGATCAAAATAATCAGAATTGATCAGCGGAAAGAATACATGATAATTAGCATCACGTGAATTATAGTACACTATCGTAGTAATCTTGAGAACTACCCTTAGACAGCAAAATAGGCGAACAGAAATTTCTTAATGCTTTTAATGTTAACCCTACCTAGACCGGGGGGGGGCTAAAAGTGCCCGCGGCAACTTTGATGTCACCTAGCGTCTGAACGGCTAGCCGTAGAACGACCAAACTTGGTGACTTTTCCTAAAATATTGTTGGCAACAATTCTTTATCATTAGAATGAGATAATACTTTTTTGTGTTGCCATGGCAACGGGTTTCTGACAGGCATTTTTTTGCTAAATTTAGTACTTTTTGTTTCAACAATAGAATTTTATGGGTTTTATGTCAAGTTACTCATGGTTTCTAATATTAATAACATCCCATATAATTTTATGTAAATTTTATCATTAAATATGCATAATTTATGCTAATTTGATGACGTCATTGGCCAAAATCCAAGATGGCGGACCATATCATTAGAACAGGTATATACGGGTTATTTTCATCAAAATTTCATCAATACTTCCATTTCTTTTTACAAAAAAGGTTAGAATGAAGGTGTTTAGTATGTTTACAATGTATTTTAGGCTTTATCATGAAAAAAAAACAATTTTTGAAAATTCAAGATTGATGATCCAAGATGGCGGATATCTTAAATATGCATGACGTCATTTTATGACGTCACCGGTGTTGCTATGGGCAACATAAGACTTAGTACACAGTAATATTCTGTCATAAACACTTTTGGTAAAGTTATGTTGTATACCAGGGAGGTTTTCAGGGAAAAACCTATTTAGACGGTTTTGGCCAATAAAATCACATTAATGACGTCATAATGACGTCATATTACGTCATAACGTCTATAAAAATTGTAGATATGATAAATTTTCACT